CCCAACCTGGAGGAGTGCCGCCAGCTGTTCTCCTCCGATAGTAGGCGCCAATCCTCTGCCGGCGGCAGCCCCTCGCCCGAGAGGACCGCCCACTCGAACTTAGTCAGCGCCATGCCAAAACAAGCGCAGCCAGAAGGTTTGGGCCGAGTTGTCCGCCTGCGCAAGAAAACCGCCAGAGGCATGCACCGTTTGCTGGCCATGCAGTGGCTGTGCCGGGTTGGCCGGCCCACTGGCATGGGCCAAGTTCTGCGACGCTGACGGGAGCATGTAGACTGATGATACGTTTCTCTTGGGAGCCCTGACCAGGTCAAAGCGCCAATCGTTGCCAAAGTGTAGTTGGAGACATGCTTCAACGCCACCTTAAGTGTTGCAGACAGTCAGGGTTTTGAGCAGCCGCGATCGGCGGAGGCGACTCGATGTATTTTGAGCTGCCAACAGAGAAAAGGCGCGTGCGCAATTTGGTGACACCGCATCTGACAGCGAGGCATGCGAAGCAGCTAGCCAGGAATCGCAGCGCCAACCCTCAGAATTGAGAAAACCTGGGCCAGCCTCATCGGCCCATTGCCGCCTTTTTGCATCATGGAAGAAATCAAGAAGGGGCTCCCAGGCATCCTCACGTACATGAAGGAGCATCGGGAGACTGTCGGGGACGACTCGGTCATCAGTCAGCAAGCAAAAGTCTGGTGCAGCAGGCTGGCGAACGCGCGGCTCACTGCAGAAGAAGGGGCTGAAGCGCTGCCCTGGCGTCAGCCCGAGCTCGAGGCGCTCGGGAAGAGCATTGGGACGGCAATCAGCAATGGCAGCACCCAGCGCCCGGCTCAGAGACCGAACCAGAATGTTCTGAGCTTCGGCGCCTACTTGACCAAGAGGCCGGCGTGAACAAATGAAAAGTGTTGACTTGCCCTAATTCAATTCATAAACTGAGCTCAGTCATGTTTTGGCCCTGCAGGGACCGTGCTGTCCTAGCGGACGGCAGAACCCCCATCCTGAGCAAGGCGGACACCGTCGTGTCAAGATTGATTGCCTTGCGCCTGTACCTGCCCTCAGAAATGGCGTGGAGACAGATCGTGGGCGCTTCTTTGGCAGCAGGCCTGCCTTGCGAGTCGGCAGCTTCCAGCTTTCACATGCTGGGAGAGATGAAGCGCATCCTGAAGCAGAAGGTGCGCGGCACCCAGCAGGGGAGCGAGATGCTGAAGGACTACCCGGCAAACCCGGATCTGCCAGGATGGCTTTTGTCGGAAGCATACCTGCCAGATGATCAGCCGTTGGATCCTGAGTTGGTGGATGAGGCATGCGTGGCGGCACGCTCGAACCAGGTCGCCCTGCGATGCACCTCGAAGCGGCTGCGAGCAACCGAGAGCGGTGCCGGCATGGACTTGGCCCTCGCGACCCCGCAAGGAGGCGGCCAGCCCATCAACCCCACGGTGCAGCAGCAGCAGCAACAGCAGCAGGCGCCCCAGACGCAGCAGCACCCATCAAGCTCATCTGCCTACTTGTCGAACTTGAGGATCTTTGCGCTCAGGGACACCAAGATCGCGGCCAGGCATGTGCCAGAGCAAGACAACATGGAGACCCCCAGCCCGAGGACAAAGCCCTTTATCAACGCCTAGGACGCGCCGCTGGAAGCTCCGAAGGGGAGAGCATGTCGGAGCGGGCGACCGTCATGGAGGAAGCTCTGAAGCAGCGCGAGGCCGAGAAGAAGGCTGCAGGACCGAAGGCTAAGGCCAAGGCCAAGGCCGCGGCCACGGCAAAGGCCAAGGCCAAAGCGAAGAGCGCAAAGTTCTTCTCCGGCGGGTGTGGGAAGTGCCTCCACACCCCTGGATGCTTCCCAAGCTGTTTCAAGTATAGGGGCAAGTGAGCGTGTTACCACGAATGCTGAGCATTTGTGCAGGGGGGGCCCACGCAAGCATGTGAATGCATTGCCGGGGACGCTCGTCCATGCATGAAGGTTGTTGCAGCTCAGGCAACATCTGTGGAACCCTGCATGCCAAACTCCTTTTGCCTGCTTTTGCGCAACACCAGTTGCCGGATGAGCTGCATATATGTGAGCAATGTCCTAACCATGCTTGCCATGGCCACTTTTGAAGAGCGCTGAAAAGGGCAACGCTTTGCCGTGAGTCTCTTGTGTTGCTGCAGAGCGGATGCAAGACATCGAGAGAAATCCTAACAAGCCACACGAAACCCCGACATTGGAACTCACAGGCCTGCGCGTGTTTGTTTATTCCACACATGTGCGCTGAGTCGAGGACTTGCTTCAGCTCTTGGGTCACTGCGCTGTCACACATATTCGTATGTGGCATTTAGCAATCGATGACACTTGCGTCCGTGGACAGCAACAGGCAGTGACTCACACTGCCGGCGAGCGCGCAGCCCTGCCTGGCATGTCTCACTTACAAGTTGTTCCAGCGTACGCAACCCACACGCAAGCTCTTGTCGCCATGCGCACAGCATCTACCAAAGCTTTGCGGGGCTGTAAAAGCTCGCGCGTTGCAGGACTTGCCGCCCGCATCGTAGTGCTTGATCACCCATGGCCATGGATTTGATTTGAGCAAGCCTCGCTGCCGTGACGGTTGTTGATCATGTCTGGGCAGGGGCGTGAGCTCTTGACATTTGGCGCTGGCAGGTCACATGTGTCCCAGACTGCTTTGGTGCAAATCCTGCAGGGAGTGCGTGAGCGTGGCCTGCCAGAACACTCCAGCAGGAGAACACTGAAGCGTGCGGCCCTCTGTGGGGTGAAGTGTTTTCCGATTCTTAACCCCTGCGCGCATCTCTGCAACGCCATGCGCGAGTCCCCAGGCCTGCAGGAGCTGGTGAAGGCCCAGCTTCGCAAGCTCCCGTGCACGACGGCGCGGCCCTGGCGCCTGGTTGTCTATTCGGACGAAGTGGTGCTGGGGAATGTGCTTGCTCATGCGAACAAGCGCAAGATGTTCACCATTTACTGGTCATTCATGGACTGTTGCAGCCTTTTTCCGCGAACCTTATGCTCGGTGAGAGTGTTTTACTTTTTGCGCGAGTCGGGTGTGTTGTTGGCGACGAGGTGGCGCTCAAGAGCATGTGGAGTGTGAAGGGCGCAAGCGGGACAGTCCCTTGCATGTGTTGCAAAAACGTGGTTGCCTTGTCCTCGGACCTGCACTTGCACGACAGGTCGGGCACGTTGGTTCCCATCAGTGAAACCGACTTTACCAAGTTTGAGCCCGCCACCGACCGGAGCATCCGAGAAGCTGCAGGCCTGCTCAAGGAGCGCAAAGACAACTGCGGCCAGGTGGCCTTCGACCGTCTCCAGCAATCACTTGGCTTGACCTACTGCGAGCACGGCCTGTTGTTTGATGAGACGTGCGCTGGCTGGATCGCTGGAGGGCCTGTGACCGTAACTTGCTTTGACTGGATGCACACGTACGTTGTGAATGGGGTTTTCAACTCTGAGGTTGGCTATCTCATGCAAGCTCTCGTCGAAGCTGGGGTCACAAACAAGGCCGTCCACGATGGGTTGCAGCGGTTCACGTGGCCAAAGAGAGCGCGGAGCACATGCGTCACGGGCCAGAACGTGCTCGAGAACCGTAAGCGGAACGACGCGGACCTCAAGTGCACTGCTTCGGAAGCACTTGCCCTGTACCCCGTGCTACGAGTTCTGCTGATGGAGTTGGTCCCACATTCTGCTGGCGCTGTCAAGGACGCTATTGACTCGTATTTGGCGCTTTGCTTGGTGCTGGACGCTCTCAAAGGCACACTCAAAGGCTTGACCAGCCATGCCGATCTGGAGCAATTGGTCCGCTCACACCTCCAGCATGTCAAACTTGCATACGGCCAGGGTGTCTTTGTCCCGAAGCACCACTACTCTGCCCATTTAGCTAGCATGTTGCAACCCTTGCTTGATCCCCCTGTCAAGCATTCAACAGGTTTGCGTGCACAGGCTGCGTGGAAACCAAGCTCTGGTCGTGCCATGAAGATCGCAGGTGAAAAGTGCGTGTGAGAGATTTTCCGCCCACCCCTTCTCACAACTTGAAGGAGTTCGTTTCCCCACGACGCCTTGCTTGGAACGATTGGTTTGAGATTGAACTTCGTGCGTCGGTTGGCGCGGTCGCACATGCGAGGGAAGATGTTTTCGTGGCATGAGCTGCTTGCTTTGAGCCCTGTAGCGCTTTGCCGGGACGCAGGTGTGTTTATAGCACGCGGCGGCGCTCATGCTGGCGCCACGCAGGGCAGTTTTTCTCGCTGGCAGTTAGATGAGCTCAATCGTAGCGCAACGAGTCATCGCTTGCTGACAGATCCTTGCGAGCGTGAGTACCACGAGGCTGCGGCGCCTGCCACTGACTCACAAGACATCCTGCCGTGTGACTGGAAAAGGCATACACATATAGATATCTGCATATATGTATATATAGAACATGATGCAAATATATTGACTTGCTCTCAACATCCAATCTGCGCTGCGCGCTCCCATGGGAAAAATGGCCGTGCTAAGCGCAACATGTTGAACATACGGCGCTTGCTAAGTTGAACATACGAGGTGCCTAACTACAACTTAGGTACCCACGCTAAGTCCTACTTAGCACGTTTGACGCAACTCTGCTATGTAGCACATATATGTCCTCTATCCATGTATCAAATCCAACAACTAGACACTAAGTTTAACCACCACGCACTTCCAAGTGTGTGTGTGTGTGGGTGCGCGCGTGCGTGCGTGCGTGCGTGCGTGCGTGCGTGCGTGCGTGCGTGCGTTTGTCTGTGTGTGTTTGTCTGTGTGTGTGTGTTTGTGTCTGTGTGTGCCTGTGTGTGTGTGTGTGTGTGTGTGTGTGTGTGTGTGTGTCTGCGTCTGCGTCTGCGTCTGCGTCTGCGTCTGTGTCTGTGTCTGTGTCTGTGTCTGTGTCTGTGTCTGTCTGTGTGTGAGTGTGTGTCTGTTTGCGTGGGAGTGTGTGCGTGCGCGCACGCGCATTCTGTAACATGTTTTTTTCTGGTTCTCCAGCGCAGTCTGTGAGTGAACACCAGTGTAGGAGAGCATCATGGAGTTCTTCAAAGAGCACGCGGTGAAGGACAAGACGGACACCGAGATTGTCAAGGCGTTGGCACAGCGACTTGATGTGTCGAAACGAGGAATTGATTCCCCACTAAATGGTTGACACCATTTTTGGGAAACGCCAGGGTTGCGGGCGGATGGCTATGCACAGCCCTTGCCGGCCAACAGCAGCTCGCAAGGTGGTGATCGGCTGGGACATCGATGAGTGGAGAGAGAACATCTCCAGACTCAAGGCGTCGGCGGTTTGTGGTTTTGTCCTACTGCTTCCAGTGACACCGCAGACGCCCCTGCGGCGAATACCCTAAATCTTGAAAGTGACCTACCCATAACCACACCAGGGCAAGTCGAGGTGAAGCGGGATTCCTTGTGCCCGATGTGTTTTCCATTTGGTAAGGCCAAGGATCCCATGGCTCTTAGATCTAGGAAGGAAGCGCGGACAGTCTGCATATTTCTGGTGGTTAGCGGCTGATTCATGGAACGTTGTGCACTGGAATCAAGCCATTTGTATGTTCTCACTTAGCTCTGATGCCTTTGTTGTGTCTATTGGATGATGGTCACATCACAGCTCGCGCTGTCCTCAATCAGTGTGCAAGATTGCATCTGTCGTGGATGCTTGACGTTTTACTGGTTCTGTCTTTTGATAGTATGGGTAGCACCTGCACGATTCGAGTCGGCAAGGAGTTGTACTACCTCAGGCAAGGGTTTGGATGTATTGGGGTCGATCGCCAAACTTTGTCAGAACCGCGATAAGGGTTGGTTTGCAGGGATTCATCACCATGACCCACACACACAAAGTGCTGACACTGGTGCAATGGGGGGCCAGAGCAAAAACGCCTTCTATCCATGGTCGAGCATTGATTAAGACATGCTTGGATCATCATTCGTTCATGGACAGGATGCCACAAACAAGGGCCCCACAAAGTATCCTATAAGTCCCTTTCAGCCCTTTTCATATTGGCCGTAAAACCAACTCCCAAAGCCCTTGAACCCCTAAGCCCCTTTAATTGACCAACAATAGTACCATGCAATCGTGCCAGGAGCTGAAGAAGCAGCTTGATGCCATAGACAGAACATCGCCGGAGGCCTGGGAGTGTGCTGGAGTGCACTCGGATCTCAATTGAGCAGCGTTCTGAATACTCTGCAAGTGAAAGTAGTATTCGTGAGGAAATATGGAATTGAAAATGTTGTTCTTGCTTTGGTCGCGGAAGGCCGCGGAAGGGTTTTACCAATTGCGCAGTTGCGAAAGGTTTGCGTAGCCCCCTTGGATGCCTTCTACGAAGTTGTTGCGTTTCCAGTACCGTAACAAGGGCTCAGACACGGTGTGACCTGGTCCCTTGTCAATGTGGCAAGCATGATGCAGAACAATGGCAAAAACCAATCTAGAAAGCTTTCCGGGCAACATGGCTGCGGCTCCCTTAACCTGCGAGATTCGCGTGTGCGGTGGCATGGCGCGCTCACGAGTGTTCTAAACTCAGGTAGCATTGTTGGATGCTTATGTAGCATGGAATGGCTCTTGTAATGCGCAGCTAGTTCACAAGTAGCAGCCAAAATGCACACGGAATCTGAAAATGCAAGGCGAGATTCGCGCAAGCTCCGCGTAAGCTCCACGCAAGCTCCGCGTAAGGGCCGGGTGCCTCGACCCAGCTCCAGCCAGCCCGGCCCATGCCGCCCAAGCCCAAGCCCAAGCCATGATTCCAACTTACTTCAGGCGTCGGCGTGAGGTTGCTGCAGCTCTCGGTTGACGTGTCTTGTCCCACAGCTTGTGCGGATTGTCTTCCGCGCGTTGAACAGCTTTGGCTTTTGCGTTTCGCCGTGTTCGCGTAAGCGAACACACACGACAAATAACTTCTAAAAAAATACTCAATCCGCGTAAGCGCCGCGTAGGCGTTTGCTATGTAGACACCACTCGCTTCAGCTACCCTCGCAGCCGCGGAAGCCCCGCGTAGGCCCTCGCGAAAGGAATTTGTTAGTGTCTTTGGCCCGCACAATGATTTAGAACAACGCTCAATTGCGGCCAAAAAAGGCACCCTCCTGTCCATGAACATGGAGGCTTCCAGAACCCCGAAACGTCAGGTTCCACTTTAGTGGACGGGCGTGCCTACACCTTTGGTTTGAAGCACCTCTGGCAAAGGCCATTTTGTCTGAGTCTCATTGCGATGGGGAGAAGAGGGAACTCTATCGGGTTTGCGCATGGCACGCGAAAAATAGGCGCGAGCACACTGCAGGGGAGAAGACTAGAAAAGGGCATTGCATGGAGCTTGTCCACTTGCCGCCAGAGACGGTAGCCGCAGTGCTACATGATGTGCTACTCTGAGGTGAGCTTGATCAACTTGCACACCATGTGTTTTGCGTGGGTGTGCTAATTTTTGCAATATGGTTGCGTGCGGAAACCTTGAATTAGAATTCATGTTGCTTTGCTTCAACAAGGTAGCCTCGCAGCCCATGCTATTGCAGAGAACCAACAGCCACTAGGCAATGCTTCAGTGCCCTTAGCCTGAAGGACTGTCGTGACTCCACCAGGTCAGCGATGGGGAGTTTGGGTGGTTGCTTTCTGGTTGCCGTTTGTTTCGATGAAGGATGGCCTGTCAAGGATTCCAGACTCAGTGCGATTTGCAAGTCGAGATCCTATGTAAATCGAGTAGGCTGAAGGTCGGTTCACTATGAAAGGGCTGTCCTGATTCGTTTCGGAGCTTACCTTGTTATCATTCTTGTTGGTCAGAAGCTGTTAGCTCTTGTCGACACGCTCATTTTGCCTCAATGTGCACCTGTGCGAAGCCTCCCTCTGGCTGACGCCCTGGGGTGCTCCCTTGACTACCTTAACAGTAGAAAATGTTGGGGCTCGCGGGCGGTGTCTTCTATGCCAAACTCCCTAAGGGCACGAGGACCACGCCCAGCTGCGCAGGCAAAAGAGATCCAGGCGAGACTCCCGGGGAGCGGCGGCTTCACCGGCAAGCATGGCTCTTGTACCCCGACATTTCCAGATTTTGACGTCGGGTCACCTGTTTATTCAATGTTCGCTTTAGGACAATGGCCTGGTCTTTTTGTAGCGATGAAGTCTCTGGCCAGGCATTCGCCGCAGCACCAGCCAGATTTGCGTTTCCTGGGACTCGTCCTTTTAGGTCCGCGCGGTTGAACGTCATTTTTTTCCACAACCAAGCTGACCTACTAATGCCTGTTGATTTCCAAACATGGGTAAGCATTGACCTTTGTTTGGGTCCGATGTTCCACTGGTTTCAATGTGGCTTTGCTCTCGTTTGCCAGTGGAACCATGTTTGTTTCCTGTAAACAACACCTCAACATCGACCCCAACCCCAAGAGGTTGGGTGTCGACGTGACTCTCAAAAGTGAAGATTTCCCTCTAAATCGGGACCCTGTTCATCAACCAGGGCCTTATTGACCAACTGAGCCGAAAAAGAAAACCCGTTGTATGTGTCAATGTAAGGCATGGTCCCAGTTGTTTTGGACGTATCAAATCAGCTGCACCACCGCTTGCAATTTGAAAGGGCAGGAGTGTGTTGCAGGAGCGGCCGCGCAAGTCAAACATGGGGCTGCGCAAGTAAAGCGCTAGTAAAGCGCAAGTGACGCAGTGATGATTCATCATCATCATCATCATCATCATCATCATCATCATCATCACCATGGCCCAAAGATGAACAAGTTTTCGCGCAAGTCCCTCGCAAGTCGCGCGCAGCCAGCAGATGCCCCGAAACTGCTTGGAGCAGGAGTGGCCCATTTCTATATTTTGCATTTTCTGTTTTCTGCGGATCCCAGCAATTTTGCCGAGTGAAGTTGTTAGACGAAAATTTGCAGCGGTGTATACACATGAGGCCTCATACACTTGAATGGGCATGCTATTGGTAGACCTCATGCTTATGAAGACCGCCGCTTGGATCTGCAATGAAAACAACTTGGGATAACAGTCTTAATACAGGTTTATTTTTCCAGCTCAACTGGGTTCCCATTAAAGGGTTCCCGGGCCTAGCTTCTGTGTTCGATGTTCTACCCAAATGGGGCATTGTTTTGTGGGGGAAATACACTGACAAGTGCATTCACACTTCAAACACTTCTCGCATGGCTCCAGAAAGAGATGGTGCAAATCACCAGCGCGCTGAAGTCTGCAGGGACCAAGGACCTGTGGAGTTGCGGATTGGGAAGGGATCCTTTTTGCGAAGAAAAGAGAAGTATATCTATCTGTAAAAGGAAAGGAGGCCGCTGCCTTTTCTCAAATTTTTCGGATTGGGCCAAGGGGCAAGATGCTGGGGAGTTTTCAAAACGTTTCAAGTCACATGAGTCGTACTCTGTGTACGCGATGATTCTTGTGTGACTGCTGGTTTGCTTTATCGTTGGTGTGTGTTTTGTTTGTCTGTTTGTCTGTTTGTCTGTTCGTTTGTTTGCTTGTTTGATTGTTTGCTTGTTTGTTTGTTTGTTTGTTTGTTTGATTGTGTCTTGTTTGTCTTGTTTGTCTTGTCTTGGCTTGGTTTGGTTTGTTTGTTGTTTTCGTTCGTTTGCTGGTCCATTTTTTGTGTGTGTTTGTTGTGTGTGTGTGCTTTGGGTACTTGTTGTGTGTGTGTGTGTGTGTACGTCCGAGTCTTTGACTGAAACATTGATTAAATCAACGGTCTGCGGTGGAGGCTGTTTTCTCCACGAGAAGCTTGAAAGGGTCCTGCCACTGTCAACTCATGAGCAAGATGATTGGCACTGAAGGCAACAAGGATGTCTGACGAAAGCAGATCTGCCGACTGCAGCCCCGCGGTTATGCCATGATAGCACCCGGTTGCTTGAGACCAACAGCGATGGTCATTCGTCCCTAGGTCAGAGTTGTTTTTACAGATTTCGACTTCAGGCACGACGACCATCTTACGCAAGGCGTTATGACCATAGCAGCAGTCCCAGCGTGGTATGAAGTAGTCTGTAAATTGCCCCTGGGGTGATTTATACATCAGCTCATGAGTGATGATTCAACTGGAATGCCCAATGGAGGGAGACTTCCAGTGGAGCAAGGCACACTTTTGGACTCCTAGAGTCGCCACAACGGCGGGAGGTTTATGCCAAGCACCAGAGACACAGAGTTTGAGTGGTGGCTGGAACCAAGCATAGGTTCAAATATATTGAACCAGCAGGTTGCTTGCCCTATGTTGTGGGGGCAACCAAAGGAACAACCACACGTTTGGGGACCTGGTTCCGACTCTTGAAATTCATCGTATTGAGGGTAAATGAAAACAACCACAGAAAAAACAACCCCTGGAGTCACCGCAGCAAAAAGCAACCCAGGGCCCAAAGATGGTGGTTCCCCTTTGGCCTTCCG